CACATATTGGTGAAATCTTATATTAATATTCAAGTGCTCATCATGTGCCACGCTGTTAAGGGCTGTTTTATGTCTTTTCATCCATTTACTACTTGCCCACATTCATAGTTACTAAATAGCAGTGCTGCTAATTCCAGAGCCCATGATTTTAACTACTACTATAGTGCCTGCACTGAAGTGATTTGACCTAGATCAACAGCTTGTAAGTAGTTGAGTCATTTCTATCGGACTGCAACTTAAGCCTCCTAACTCCTAGCTCACTGCTTTTTCCTGAACACATTCTTCAATGGCTCTTAGCTCTACAAGAATTCAACCCCTGCTGTACATTGTCACTTCTACAATATAATTCCTATAAACAGCATGGGGAAAGCTGCCCCTCCATCCTTACCAGAGGAGTTGTAGCTTGCACATCCATATACAGAGGTCGCAGCACTGACTCCATCTCTGGAGCAGTGGCTGTATCTGAGGGAACAGCAGACTGGGGAGCATGGTCTGCAACTGCCAAAAATATGGAACAGAGTGGCCAAGTGACTATGGACACAGGGTATCCAAGACATCAGAAGGTAAAGCCGGGATGGAGGTGAGTTAAGTTTAAGGAATACTGGGGTTGAATCTTAATGAAAAAGGAAAGAAAACATCAGGATTTGAGCAAACTGTAAAAGGAGATAAGGGACAAAGGCAGGGCTCTTGGAGGGGGATGTTGGGACATTATTAAAGTTGCACCGTTGGGAGTTGGGAAGGCTCTGAAATGGCAAAGCCATTTAGAAGGGATGTGGAGACATAAGCTCTCCTTTGAAGGTCACTTGCTGGACCACTAGCATCTCTAAAAGTTGGTTAGAAGAATGAAGGCCGAGCCTCAGGCTCGGAAGGCCAGTGGGATAAGATCTGAGTGGGTGGCGGCGAAGGCACTAAGAAAGCCAGCTTGAGAAAACTGGAGGGATGAAGCCCAGGGGAAGGGTCAGAGGGTCTGGGTAGGGGCGGAAGAGGGAGGCTACGGAATATTCACAGGTGCGTCGCCGCGCGGAGGAGAAAGAAGGCGCGCCTCCTGGGAGGGAAGCAGCAAGCGGGACCCGGAGCGTACCGCGCAGGCGCAGACCCCGAGTGGGCGCCTCGAGACTCGGCCCCTGAGCTGCTGGCAGGGCCGCAGCCACCCGCCTCCAAGCTGTCCGCAGCAACATGGTCCCGGAGGCACAGCCCCTCGCCCCGAGCGGCTGCAGTACTTAGCTACGAACTCCCGGAAGTACTGTTCAGTGCCCCGGAAGCGATTCCTCAGGCCATCAGCGCGCTCCGCCTCGCGTTCCGTGTGAGACGTAGACTGAGCGACCGAGGCCGCGAGCGAGGTGAGGTGGGGGCTCGAGGGTCGGAACACTAAGAGGGTGATGGAATCGGGTTACACGCGGATTTTCCTTCCCGAGCTTCCTCGAGCCCTTACGTCCGCTCCCCAACCCCTTTTCCTCTGACCCCGCCCGACTCTCGGGCTGGCGGCCAGGCCTGCATTTCCTTGATCCTCGAACCCCACAGATGCCGGTGGCCGTGGGTCCCTATGGACAGTCCCAGCCAAGCTGCTTCGACCGTGTGAAGATGGGCTTTGTGATGGGTTGCGCCGTAGGCATGGCGGCCGGGGCGCTCTTCGGCACGTTTTCCTGCCTCAGGTGAGGGGCGCGGGTGGTGACCTGGGGTGGGACTACCGGACCTTCCCGCCCACTCCACTTGGCCTGCCGCCTGAATGGAGACTAACGCGTGGCAATCTCGCTGACCTCTGAGCGAGACCAGTTTCCTAACCACCTTCCGTGTGGAAGGACAGGTTGGAATCCCTCCTCTCCAGCGCTTACTAGTCTGTAACCTTAGGCAAGTTGAGCCTGGGTTTCCTCAAGTGTAGAATGAGGTCAGTAACACCTACCTCATAGAGTTGTAAGGATCAAGTCAGAGAACACTTAGCACAGAATATAGCACATATTAAGTGCTCAGTAAATAGTTATGACCGTCGTTGCTGTTATTTCCAGTTGCACATCGTGAAACTTGTTGAGGAGCAACAGGATGTAGAAATGAAGCAGATAAATTCTACACCTTAAATGTCATTTTCACGTATATGACTATTCTCATATAAATGACTATTCTCATTTTTTCAGACTGAAAGTTACTACTTACTGTGCACTTTCTGTGTCAATCACTGTGCTAGATGCTTGTTATCACAATTCTTTTATACTTGACATAGTCCATAAAATGACTCCAGTTACTTTTTTTAAAAAATATATTTTTTATTCGATTTTTACAGAGGGGAGGGAAGAGGAATAGAGTTAGAAACATCGATCAGCTGCCTCCTGCACACCCCATACTGGGGATGTGCTGCCCGCAACCAAAGTACATGCCCTTGACCGAGACCCTTGAGTCCGCAGGCCTAGGCTCTATCCACTGAGCCAAACCGGTTAGGGCTCCACAATCACTTTTAACACTAGGAAACCGTCTAAGACAGCTGTTGTTACTGGGTTATATATACAGATTCTAGAGGTAAAACCAGCCTCTCAGAAACTAAAGGCAGTATCTGATAGATCCTTTTCAACTTGTCATTACTGATCCTGGGTGGGAGGGGCTAATGTCCTATTAGACTTCTGGAGTGCATGATTCATCCTTAGAAGCACATGTTGGAAAAGGGCAGTTAATATTTCTCCATATACAGTATTTTTGTTCCCAACTGGCCCCATCTTGGTTTCCTCCTCTCAGGATTGGAATGCGGGGTCGGGAGCTGATGGGCGGCATCGGGAAAACCATGATGCAGAGTGGCGGCACCTTTGGCACATTCATGGCTATCGGGATGGGCATCCGATGCTAATCAGGGCAATGGTTGCCCACATCTACCCTATCCCATCAGTCCCAGCCCATGTACTATAATAAAAACACTTTGAGTAGTCTGTGTTGGAGGCATTGTTTTCTTCTTCTCACTCCAGACTATTATACAGCTTGCTTAGAGATTTTCTGAGGTAGGCCGAGTAGGTTTGTAGTTTTCACTAGACCTGTATGTTAACTACAAGCTAGAAAATTTTTCCATGGCTGGAACCTTTCATAGATTCTAGTAAGCCCTTATTACTCAACCTTTTGATTTATCACCGTTTTAATTTTTTTAATGTCTTTATTGTTGAAAGCATTGCATGTGTCCCCTATCATTAGTGTTTTAAAGGTGAAAAACAAGTTACAGGTAGATTTCATTTCAAGGTCACAATGCAAAAGGGTGTTTTTTTTTAGTATGTTTAGCAACACCAGCCAGGCAGGAATGTTTTATTTTCAATACTATGTTCATTCAAAAGTTGTCCAGATATACCTGTTGGCTTGATGAGAAAAAGAACCAGTTATGATTCAGTCATGCATCTGAGGTGACAAAGGCGAGAATACAGGAGTATGAGTCTGTTTACATCTCAGGGAATTGTGCTGTGAATATTTTCCTGTGGTTTCACTTTCGTTGCTTATTTTCATTTTTTTACTGTACATTTCCCTTTTGTAAACTTACATTTTATGTCTTTGTCTTTAAAGTGTCTAAACAGTACTTATAGACATGTACTGTATATAAGAAAAGTTATGCCCTGGCCAGTGTAGCTCAGATGGAGTGTGCAGGTTCTATTTGTCAGGGCTTACACCCATGTTGTGAGTTTGATCACCAGTCCAATGAAGGCAGTCAATTGATGTTTCCCTTCTCTCACATGGATGTTTCTCTCTCCCGCCCCCCTCTAAAAATCAATAAAAGATTTTTTAAAGTTTAAAACGGAATCATTTGAGTCTGGAATGAATTGTTTACATTATTTCTAATGGGGGAAAAAATGCTTTGGTTTTCTAAGTCTTCCAGAACAAATTAAGTTGGAGAACCGGTTCAGCTGTAATTGCCTTGAAAGTAGGTTCATAGTAAATGGGAATGTTTTCAAGAAACTAGACTTATCTAATATTTTGTGGACATAGGACTCTCAGATTCAGCCAAAATCAGGGTTACTACCACAGTACAAATAGCAGTTACAGATTTTCCAGAGTAGATGAGATGACTACCTAAAGGATTTCACTCAAAATGGCAATTTGCCAAACTCTTATATATTTGCTTTGAACATCATTTACAACCCAAATTTCATTCTGTGTAGAGCTAAATTTTGCTCCCTTTATTAAACCATGGCCATCTTTGCTGGAATGAGGAAACCTGACAGAACCAGGACTTGATTCAATAATTTAAAAATTATACCTACTTTGGAAATAAAAAAAAAAAACATGTTAGCCCCAAGAAACACTGTGTTTTAAAAAAAAATCAATCTTAATCTTGAAACTTCAGGTTGAATAACTGAAGCAATTTTGGACTACTCATCCAAAAGGGTTGGTAGAAAATTGTGATGGCTCCATACTCAAAATTGATTAGGTAACTTGATATCTAAGTAAATATAGTGTAAAGCTTGTGCCTCAATGCTAACAAATCAATGCAGCAGAAACAGAAATGAGGTAAGAAAATCAGTATTAGATGATAATCATTCCATTAGAATCAACATTACCTATCCAAAGGTTCAACCTATACACAACTTGAAGCAGAGTTCAGAGTATAAATGGTGATGGCTCACTACCCAAGTTAAAGCTCAAATTCCATAATAAGGTAAATGCATTAAATCAACTTGGGAAGTCAGTTTGAACTTATTCCATTTTTGTTCAGTATTTACTTTAAATAGTAAAGCACTTTTTTTCCCTACAAGGATGTCCAGACAACACAGGAAACTTAACGCCCAAGTTTAAAGCCTGGATGAATGTTTTGTTTCCTTTTTTGTAAATCAGTTTTAATACATTACCCTAAATAGGTACAATGCCAAGAGAATGATATACAGGAATGTATAGACACCTTGAGGGCAAGAATTTATCCAGACTGCTAATAATTGTTCCAAAGAGGCAAGCAAATACCTAATAACTACTAAAAGTCAAAGAAACTAATATTCTATTTTCATGTTTCTATGACTTCAAAACATTTCAAAAATGAAGATTTCTTGTGGCCTTTTTAAGAGAATTTTATTTGAGTGGTTCTTACAAAGATTGTTGCAATATGAAAGTCATTTGTTTGATAGAAATATCAAGCTGTCTTGTCAAACACACTGAAGTAACCCAAAAATATATTTCAGAGCTCACAGAGCTTAAAAAGAGCAAAGATTATATGCAACCAGACAAAACCTATTTCTGCATTTCCCATTTCTTGCTCAGACTGTTTTGCTTACCAGACTCACTAAACATCTTGAGGAAATGCAGGGATCATTTTGTTTGGAATCTTAGACACACTAGAACACATATTTACAGAGAAACTTTTACAGATACATTAATTGAAAAGATACTATTCAGAAATGTAATTTTGAAATCTTTTCTTGCTAATTGATCAGAGTGCAAGATGAGATGTTAATCAAACAGCCCTTTAGCTGTCTTGAATTTCCATACACTAAATGTGTATTTCAGAAACCTCTGCTAAACCATTAGCCATATCAACATTAGTGAAAATGTGAAATGTAACTGTTGTGTAAAAAGTTAGGCTTCTGAAATGAAACATTAAAAACATTATATCCCTGTCTGCCTTTTTACATTAAGCACATTTGTTCCCCTAGAGCTATTTCTATAGATCCTTAATGTAATTTTCTACATGTACATATAAAAGGCAGAACAAGAGAACAGTTTTGTATACAGTGGGATTTGCTATATAGGGAGAACGAGCACACTGCATTCCTGTTAACATTTTTATTTTTTCACGGTAACAGGAATTGTATACAAATGACAGTAGACCCTTGCCTCTTTATCTAAATAAAAGATAACTCAAGATGAATTCTCAAAAGAAAAAGAGCTATGTACATAAGAGACTATATCTTCCTTCATCGTCTACTTGGGACCAGTAGTTGTGTTGCTGTCATAGAATCAGGAAAGAGGTTGTGATAAGTTGGAAGAGGTACATACGCTGCTGTTATCATTTTACCTGTTGAAAGAAACAGACATTGATAGTTTAATATCTTCACTTAGATTAATTAGAGCCTTAATAATCACTCAGAAAAAGCAACATTAAACTCACCAGCAAACCACCTGCCATGCAATGCATTTACAGCAGCAATGGCTGCAGCAATTGATGGGCACTTCACATACACATTGCCCTAAAATACAATTAAAAAAGTATTATCCTAAACAGTGTGCATTTGAACAGGTTTATTCAAGCGGCCTACAGATAGACTTAGTGTTCTATAACTATGTAATTGTTTAATCATAATATGACCCAAGTATCTGTAAAGTTTAAGGCAAAGAGAACAACATTCTTGCTTATTAAAAAGAGCAAATAGCCCTAGATGGTTTGGCTGAGTGGATAGAGAGTCAGCCTGCAGACTGAAGAGTCCCAGGTTCGATTCCGGTCAAGGGCACATGCCTGGGCTGCGGGCTTGATCCCCAGTAGGGGGTGTGCAGGAGGCAGCCAATCTGTGATTCTCTCTCATCATTGATATTTCTATATCTCCCTCTCCGTTCCTCTCTTAAATCAATAAAAATATATTAAAAAAAATAAAATAAAAAGAGCAAATACCTGAGCTGAATTTTTGTCAACATAAATATGAATAACTCCTCCATGTTTATTACATTCTTCAATCACATCATCCTTAATCTCTGTATCCCATCCAACTTCTTCTTCTCTGTAAGAAAGTATAAGCTTTATTAGACACTGTATAAACATTTTAAAATATGCATTCTTTTAAAAAATCAGTGTTAAGTATAGGCACTGGAGGAAATAAAGAAGATATAAAACATTTCTAGTGCTCGCTTTGGAGCACATATACTAAAAATTGGAATGATACAGAGATTAGCAATGGCCCCTGCACAAGGATGACATGCAAATTCGTGAAGCGTTCCATATTTTAAAAAAATAAAAAAACATTTCTAAAGGTTATAAATTTTTAAGTCACTTAAATGATTTATTGACATTTTTCAAATGATTCTTATACCAACAGTTTATCACCATTTCATAGACAAAGCTAACAGAATACAAGCCTCTTTCTACGGTAAACTCTGAACCAATATTAATGCAAACAGCATATTATAAATTATTAAAGTTGTAGGAAACATATTTCCTCAAATATAGTGACTGATTTAAAAATTTACCAAACAAAAACAAGATGTGGACTAATTAATAAATGGCATTCTAATCACTGGCTAGGAAGTAGAAAATATTTCTAATTAACAGCATGCACTAATCAAAAGAAAATTAAAAAAAACACACACACAACTTTTCTGCTATTAGACTGAAATAAGCTTAAAATCTCAAAGCCCATAATTGGTATAAGCTGGTGACCAAAATAAATACTGACACAAACTTTAGTAAAGTTAGATATAAACGGGAAATATAAAGTCTGCACAGCTTTCAATTCCAATCTTACAAACACATCCAAAGAAAATAACCAACAATGTGCATAATGTGCTAAAAGGATAAGAAGTGTTGCACTATTTGAACTATGAAATATATGGAAATATCCTAAGTGTTTGAACTTGACCAAGTATATTACTTACGTTTGAGGGTTAAACATGTTAGAGAGTTGAAAACACTGTGTTGCAAGAGGTTGAACAGAGGCAGCTGCAGCTAACGCTGAAGCTAAAAAAAAAAAAAAGAGAGCAATTAGTTCCATGGAAAATGCATCAAAATAAAACAAAAAACCCACTAAACCCAAAGTATGAAACTAGGTATAGTGTCAAGCCAGAAACTTAACTAATTTACCTTACTTTAATAAGGCTATCATATCAAAGTATGTAACAGAACTCCATTTTAGTTGCCAGAAAACTGTGGCAATATTTGAAGTGGCCAATCTTGAAAAAGTTGGGAGTTTTATTTTCACAAGGGAAATTAAACTTTATGTGTAATCAATCTTAAATTATACAAACAACAACACAAATCAATCCAGAAAGACAAAGGATTAAACTGAACATTGACTTTATAAAATTGCTTGAGTTTATACCTGAGAAGCAGGGGGTAATAAGAATGTATCTTTTGGCCCAGCCAGGGTCAATCAGCAATTGAGTGTCAACCTAGGTCCTAGGACCAAGAGGGTCACCCATTCGATTACTGGCAGGGGCACATGCCTGGGTTGCGGGCTCAATCCCCAGTAGTGGGTGGCTGATTGAAGATATCTCTCTGTTATCAATGTTTCTATCTCTATCCTTCTCCCTCTCACTCTGAAAATCCATAAAAACACTAAGAAATATGATCTTTAAAATTCCAAAATAAGGCCGTGGAAGGTAGCTCAGTCCCAATACGCCAAGATTGTGGGTTTGATCACTGTTCAGGGCAAAGAAGCAACCAAGGAATGCATAAATAAGTAGAACAACAAATGGATGTTTCTCTCCACCCCCCCACACCTCTAACATGAATAAAGTGCCAAATAAATGTATGAACCTATTGTATTTCTTAGGATTCTATCCATGAATATATAGTTATATATTCCTAAAAAAACACAAACATTATAAAAGGATTGTTTTAAAAATAAGATGCATAAAACCACCCAAGCATCTAAGACTTAATATCCTAGGACAGTGGTCAGCGAACTGTGGCCCCTTTAGTGTGGCTCTTCCACAAAATACCACGTGCGGACGCACACGTACAGTGTGATTGAAACTTCGTGGCCACACTCAAGGGGCCAAAGAGCCGCATGTGGCTTGCGAGCCAGTTTGCTGATCACTGTCCTAGGATTATAAATTCTATTACAAAACCAGATTAATCTTTAAAAAATGATTGTCTGCTTTTGCATAAGAATAGACTAGCACGAAAAATAAAACTAAAATATTCACTATATTAAAAATAAAAAAATACTGAACACTGATATTTAAGCTCGGCATTTAAAACCCTATTGGTTTTAAGTATGAAGTGAGAGAGCACTGGCCAAGACAGCCGCTCCATTGTCTATATGTGATTTATAAAACATTACCAGTAGCTGTTACACAACTCACCGTAATCATAACATTTGACCAAATTTCATTCCAATACATAACAACAAAGCTAAGGATAAAACAGTGCATTAGAAATTATAATTAAACATTCACCTGAGGAAGTACCAGAAATATTCCATTGAATAAAAATTATGGTTGCACATGAAATACATCATAAATTTTTTTCTGATAGAATTAGGCTATATATTAAAGTAACTAACAGATGTCAAACTCTACTGGGGACAGTTAAAGATGCAACCATGCTTATATTACAGTTAAAAAATACAGCCTGCCCGGCTGGTGTCACTCAATTATTAAGTATCAACCCATGAACCAGGAGGTAACCAATCGACTCCCAGTCAGGGAACATGCTCGGGTTGTGGGCTCGATCCTACTAAGGGTTGTGCTGGAGGTGGCCAATCAACGATTCTTCTCTCATCATTGATGTTTCTATCTCTCTCTTCCCCTTTCTCTCTGAAATCAATAAAAATATTTGAAAACCAAACAAAAAAAGATAGGTGAAAATATATCTTAAAAACAAAAAGCCTGTTGTGTACCCTCATCATAAATAAATGGAAGTATGCTTGGGAAGAAAAACTGGAAGGACATTACAAAATAATTGAGAACTTGTATTTTTCCATTTCCTCCAATTAATTATGACAATATACTAGGAATACTGAAAAATACTTAGAAAATGTATAATAGAAATATTCCAGCTCAACCTAGAAGAATGCAGAACACAATAAATTCAGCAGAGAAATATAGTTAATAGAAAAATCTAGTTCAACTTTTTAAAATCTGCTAGAAATAAAAGGATTGATATAGCTGCCTCATTTACTAGAAAAAATACACATTTAATTCCTATCAAAGAACATGGTAGATATTTCATATAGAATAATTTCCCTAAACAACTTTAAGTATAGCCTAAAAAAATGGGATACTGAATTTGTTCAGTATCAAATAGCTCTATCAAATGGCACATATTTACGTGGACATTAAAAACAAGAAAAAATAGCCCACTTTATAAATCATTTCAATCTCTGAAGTCTGCATGCAATTTTGTTCTGGATAATATTCTCATTGCTTGGCACTGCATATACAAATCACTGGAGTTAGAGCCAATTTTCCAAATCTTATATTTAGTTGACAAACTATGTTCTGAAAGATTTGTCTATCTAAATGACAAATTTCACTTTCTGACTTCTATCTAAAACTTACTAACAATCACTACACAAAAATAAGCGTAAGAGGCTTAAAATACTTCTAAGCAAGCTAAAGCTAAAAAAAGCACAAACATTTTCATTTTTTATCCATGCAACTGTAATAGTTTTGTGATTGGGCCTTCCAAAACATACATTAGCAAATAGCTTACTGTGAGTGTAATGTAATATATGACTATCATTCTGACAAAACTGGATCCAAAATAAAATACAATAATAAATATAAAGAACTATGTCTTGCTACATTTACATTTATTTCAAAGACAAATAAAAAGCTCAACTCACCTTCAGTCTGTTGGGAAAGTCTTGTTTGCAAATCTATAACAAAAGAGAATTCTACAGCTCAGTGCAGGAACAATGAAGAGCCTCAACTAACAGGGTAAATGTCAGGAGAGCATTAATAAAAGAGGACTACTGTAGCAGGGTTTGTGAAAATGAACTTATAGTAAAACCTGGCAGCCAAACCCCCTTCCCCATTCCTCATTGGCAAGGCTTTGGGGGCCTTCTCTCCTCCTGTCCTAGGAAACTTATGCCTCTTTTTTCTTATTCCTAGTAAGAACTCTTCCACATCTAAAATACTACATTCCACTACACTAGTCTGCACATGGGAATAATGGGAAATGGGGAAAGGGAAGCAAACCGGTAAGAAAATACATGAAAACCCTGATCTTGAGAATTCAATTCCAAGTACTTGGGATAGACAACTATTTATTGTTCTAACAGTGGGAATAATAAGCATTTTAAACTTTTAGAAAGAATACTAATATCAAACAGCTGTAAACACTTTCACTAATCTACCAACTGAAGTAGTAAGAGCACCAGTGGAAAATACACCATTTTAACTTTATACTTTTTAAAAGTGCTTTTAGGATTAAAAAGAGTCAAGTCCAGCCAAGAAGATGATTTTTTTTTTTTTTAAAAATCTGGTTTTATGACCTAGTCTGGAAATTTATTGAGGCAGGAATGAAATCTCATTGGGTTTACCATAATTTATGAAATACAGAAAAATCTAAGCAACTAGTCAGCATTAAAAATAAAGAGAACAGGAATTTTTACCACTATATTTCCCATATAATTGTTAATACTTCTACATTAAAAGGCAAGTTAAGAGAAAGCTGCTAACAAGTAAGAATAGCAGCAGGTCTGAATAGTCAAGAAAATGCCAGTGTTGAAAAGCTATCTTTAAGTTCGAAGTTTCAGAAATATACAGTATAGAAATGGTTTAGCTTTAATACCCAATTGTCATTAACATGAGATTCAACTGCAACACTTTTATTGCCATTTGGGTTCCTTGCTGAGTACATGAAAATGATCATAAAACATGGGCAAAAACTAACGGGATCCACAGCCCAAGTTATATTGGGATATAAGTATACCTGGGTCCTAGGTGCTCAAATTTGGCATCTCAAGGAGTTGAAGAAATATAACTGATGTATACTGAAGGAACTTGAAGATATGACCATAGGAACATTGTCAATAAACTTTAAATTATAACACAATTTGTCTTTTTTTTCCTAAAACGGGAAAAAATGTATAGATATCAGAAATCCATGCTACTTTTAAATGTTAATAAATCCCTATAAAAACTTCAAAAATAAAAACTTTTTTAACATGACTTTCTGATCACAAGATTATGGCCAGAGGAATATGAAGTCACCAAAACTAATTTGGAGGTTGCCAAGAACTTATTTTAAAGTGTTTTCAAGTCTGACCAAGAACTCTGATACTTGGAAACAAATTAAGAAGATATGAATATTTAAAAGCATGTTTTCTTTTCATAAAAAAATTTCCAATTTTTTATGTCATTTGTTATGACAAGTTAGAAAATAAAGCATGGGTTTCATAAAAGTAAGAGCCCTATCTTAGAATCTAAATTTCCAGAATATAAGCATATGGAGCCTGGCCAGAGTGGCTCAGTTGGTTGAGCATGATCCCATGCACCAAAAGGTTGGCCCATTGATTACCAGTCAGGGCACATGCCTGGGTTGTGGGCTCACCCCCAGTAAGGGATGAAAGAAGGCAGCTGACTGAAAAAAATTTAATTAGGTAAAGATACTGTTTTTGAAGACTAAATCAATGTACAATGGGGCCTTGACTTACGAGTTTAATTCGTTCTGAGACCGAGCTCGTTAACTCAAATTACTCTATCAACTCAATGCAAAAAATCGGCCGAGAGACAGCTGGTATCTCAAAAAACTCGTTAGTCGGGACACTCGTAAGTCAAGGCCCCACTGTATTTGATTTACCATCCAGAATAAACCTAACATTGTTAAGATATCAATCATGTCACTGCATCAAATCCCCAAAGGTAGGGAACAAATCTCATTCGTTAGCCTTTCGTGAGAATATATAGAATATGTTGAAAAATCAGACATTTCCTAAATTATTGAAAGAATGACCTGTACAATGGGGAGCAATGCAAGAATGGCCTTCAGAATAAATAATTTTCAAACCATAGACTACGAATTATTTACAGCAAATGATTTTTATAACTACTTGTTCACTGAAAATTATATGCCTAATGCTTATTTAAAATGTCAAAATAGCCCTAGCTGGTTTGGCTCAGTGGATAGAGCGTTGGCCTGCGGACCGAAGGGTCCCAGGTTCGATTCTGGCAAGGGCACATGCCTGGGTTGCGGGCTTGATCCCCAGTAAGGGTGTGCAGGAGGAAGCCAATCAATGAATCTCTTTCATCATTCATGTTTCTATCTCCCTTTCCCTTCCTCTCTGAAATAAATTTTTAAAAAAATATTTTTTAAAAATCAAAATAAATTAATTGTTGTGAATTTTATCTTCTTAGAAGGTTACATTTGGCATAGTTTTGTCAGAAATTTTAGAGAATAACTATTAGATTTCAAAATAAATCACTCAATTTGATAGGAAGCATAGAAAATTAAAGGCAGGTTTCTAAAGGCACTGTCACAACTTTTGGATATCCATTAAAAAAGAAAACACTGCCCTGGCGATTGTGCTCGGTGGTTAGAGCATGTCACCTGTCTTTTCCAGGTCAAGGGAAAGTACCCGAGTTGCAGGTTCCATCCCTAGTCCCAGCTGAGGTGGGAGGCAACCAAGTGATGTCTCTCTCTCACATCAATCATCAATATTTCTCTTTGCTCTCTGGTTCCCTCCCTCCCTCCCTTCCACTCTCTCTAAAAATCATTGGCGAAAAAATATCCTTGGGGGAGAATTAACAACAAATAAAATGAAAGAAAAGTCCCCCTTCTAACTAATGAAGAGCAATATGAAAGTAGAAAATTATACTATTAATCAGCTAATGAACTTTCAATTTAGAAGAAAATCAATCATGAAGCAACCACATGAACTTTTTTGTATAGATTCAGTACCATCATCTCATTATTCCTTTACTTTTTAAAATAATTTTTTATTTTTCAATTACAATGACACCCAATATTATATTAGTTTCAGGTGTACATATCTCATTTTTTATACATTGCAGCCTCACTTTATAGATATGGTGAAAGGACCAATTCATAACATTACGCTGGAAGCCAATTCCAGCATGACAGCAGACTGAATCATCTGGAGTGGCTGAAGGGCATTTCCCCAAACCTGAAAAGGATGCATTAAATTGATTGCTTGCTGCCAGCCAGCTCAGGGCATCTTAATCTACATGTTATTGCCTCCTACTGGCCAAACACATTAACAGCAGTAGGCTAATTCTCCCCATTCTGACAATGGACTGTGTATATAGGAAACCCTACCCTTGGAAGTATCTCCACCTCGCCTCAGGAGAATTTGTGTTAATAAAAAGCATGGGGTCCTGAGATGAGGAGATCTTAGTTTCTTTAGCTAGGCTCCTCTGACCCCCAATGCCTTTCAAAATTATGCTTCGTCTCCGGACTCTTTTAAGTTACACACAGCCCCTTCCTTCTCTAGATTGCTGAACCCTTCTTAATGCTGGAACAAGAACCCCGGCAATATAAATTACATACTTTCTTGGAATAAGTACTTCCTGTCATGCAAGGTTCACAATACAAATAGTTTTGATAAGTACCAAAAAACCAGATTGTCAACATTTCAAAATTATACATTATCCTAGCTTGTAGATATGAGCTAATATCAAGGTAAAGACAAATCCACATAATTAAGTTAAGCCATAAAAGAGAGGAAGACCATGTGTTTCATAAACCAAACTCCTCATTAGATAACTAGAGGCTCAGTGCGCGCGCGCGTGTGCCGCAGCCCAGGAGCCCTTGGGAGATGTCCAACTGACAGCTTAGGCCTAAGCCTGCAGTCAACCTTAGCGTTGCCGTGGAGGCGGGAGAAGCTCTGCCACTGCCGCACTCGCCAGCTGTGATCCCAGCTTCTGGCTGAGCAGCACTCACCCTGTGGGTGTGCACTGACCACCAGGGGGCAGACGCTCCTGCACTGAGCGTCTGCCCCCTGGTGGTCAGTGCACATCATAGCAACGGGTCCTTCTGCTGTTCAGTCAATTTGCATACTAGCCTTTTATTATATAGGATTGTAATAAACTGCCAATGCTCTCCTCCCTTCCTGTCCTCTCCAAGAACTTAATTCCCAAACTCAACATCTCAAAATAATGTGTACTGTTTAGGAAAGAACTTTACTGGGCAATTTACTGAGCACTCTTGATATTGCAATCACTTCAGTAAAGCTTGATTTAAAGCCCTCTGGTAGTTTTCTGAACTTAAATATTACAATGAAACATTTTGTGCTGTAAAGCAATATAAAGGTTTTGGTCTCTATAGCTTGTAGCAATTTAAACTAAAATTGGTGTGAAGTATTCAATATAATATCCTGACAGCTTATTATGATTAGTAAATAATTCTGTCCTATATCTTCACTTTCTTATAGGGACATTTGAAATTTATTGGCTATAAGTACTTGATGAATTGAATTCTCAGTAAGTCCTTTTAAATGCAAAAATTTGGCAAATTTTCGAATTAGGTGAAAAAACAATGATTGCAAATTAGAAAAGATTCAATTCCTACCTGCCACAGCACCAAATGCCAAGGAGCCACTCATTTGTAGAGCTTGCTGTGCTGCTGGTGGGATCTGCAAACCTGTACCTGGAAAAGAATAGGTCTTAAAGTCCTTAATGTGTTAAGATCAGAAAAATCCAGATTTCTGAGTGTTTAATACCGAAGTCACTCCAATAGTAAACATGACAAGCAGCATATAGTGTAAAAGATACAATTAAGTTTATTGTGAATTTTGAGAATGTTATTTTTATAGAAAGCACAAGGAATCCTGTAGCATACAATGTGGTACTCAAAAATGCACCACCATAAAGTAGATTCCATTAGAACTTTAAGGTGAGGAACTTAATCTATGAAATTACATACATGTGCTGCCCACGGAGAACATAAATTCCAAAATAAATCACTTTCCATTTATTAATCTAGATAACTTTCTCATCATAGTCATACTAAATCATTAACACTAAAAAAAACTTACCCTCTGCAAGTCTTGCCATTAATTGAAGACGACCAGTTGTTCCCAAATCAATTCCAGTCCTTTCCAGTTCATCACTGTCCAAAAAGGAGCTAGCGCTGGAAGCATCAGTTCGTTCAGTAACATGACCAACTTTCATTGGCCTTCCTGCTAGCTCAAATCCATTAAGTTGTTCCAAAGCCTTCTTGGCACATTCTGAATCAGAAAACTAATCAAGGGAGAGGTTTAAAAAAAAAAAAAAAAAAAAAAAAAGTCCAGTAGATTAGTTTACATAGGTAAGGAAATGCTTGCTTATTAAGTTCACTAGAGTACTGGTGCACGAAATTGGTGCACTGTGTGTGTGTGTGTGTGTGTGTGTGTGTGTGTGTGTGTGTGGTGGTGGTGGTGGTGGTGGTGGTGGTGGTGGTGGTGTCCCCTCAGCCTGGCCTGCACCCTCTTGCAGTCTGGGAGCTTTCCGGGGATGTCTGATTGCCACGGAGTGGGAGAGGTTCCCACCACTGCCGCTGTGCTCACCAGTCTTGGCTCAGGGCTTCTGGCTGAGCAGCACTCCCTCTGTGGGAACACATTGATCAACAGGAGGCAGCTCCTACATTGAGTGTCTGCCCCTGGTGGTCAGTACGCATATGGCGACCGGTCATTCCGTCATTTGGTCAATTTGCATATTAGCCTTTTATTATGTAGGATTATATTCAATAATTATAACTGGGCGGATGATGAAGTAATTTCAAACTATAATATAACGAACATAATCAGACCGTATTATTGACATAATTTAAAATGACAAGATAGGGTCCGGCTGGTGTGGCACAATGGTTGAGCATCAACCTCTGACCCAGGACGACATGATTCGATTCCTAGTCAGGGCACATGCCAGGGTTGGAAGCTTGATCCCCAGTGGGGGATGTGATTGGAGGCAGCTGATCAATGTTTCTTTTTCATCATTAATGTTTCTATCTCCCCTTTCCCTTCTTTGAAATCAATAAGAACATATTAAAAAAATAAAGAATGAAAGGCTCCTAAAAGGAAGCTTAAAAAAAGAAAATGACAAGATAGGGATTCCCTCTCAAAAGCATGCCAGCACTTTTCCCATCCCCTCCTCCTCTATACCCCTTTTTTCCCCTAAACTTGCATCCAACTTGTTTCCTGAGCCCACTTCTTCCATGACACATCAATTGGTGCCTCTGGAACCCCCCACCCCAGAATCGAACCGGGGACCCTTTTAGTCCATGGGCGGATGCTCCAAATATTGAGCCAAATCAGTGAGGGCCAGATATTATTTTTAATACAAAATTCTGGGTCAACTTTTCTTGCCAATGAAATCATGAATATTCTTAATTCCAGGCTGCAAACCCAGAAAAACTCTAATCCATACCCTCTGGTTTTAATTTAATGAGAGAAAGGAACATATTCCCATGAATCCTGTACTTTAATCTTTCATCAGAATGTTTACTGTTTAAAATAATTTCTGGCCCTGGCCAGGTAACTCAGTTGGTTAGAGTGTCCTTCTCATATGTCAAGGTTTTGGGTTCAATTTCTGGTCAGGGCACATATAAGAAGCAATCAGTTAATCATAAATAAGCTTAAGTGAGTGGAACAACAAATTGATGTCTCTCACCAACCCCTCTTCCCTCTTTTTCTCTCAAAATAAAATCCTATATAATAAAGCGGTAATATGCAAATTAACCCTCATGCCATCACACCGTCACAAGATGGCTGCACCCACAGTGGAGGTGGGGTTCCCTTAACAAGCCATAACGAGCAATCAGCAGGGACCTGAGGCTGCATGGTGTCAGGCCGGGACGGGGGACCTGAGGTTGCGCCCCACCTCCAGCTGAACTTGATTGGGGACCTCAGGACATACCCCCCATCCGGCAGGGCTTGACATGGAACCTCAGGCCATGCCCCCCACCTGGCAGGGCTTAACAGGGGACCTCAAGCTGTGCCACCCGCCTGGCGGGGCTTGATGGGGGACCTCAGGCCATGCACCCACCCCAGTGGCAGGCCAGGGGAATCTGAGGCCATGCCCCTGCCCTGGGCTGGGGGACCTGAGGCCACGCCACCCACCCCTCCCGGCACCTAGCCGAGAGACCTGAGGCTGTGCCCCCTGCCTGGAAGGACTTGACAGGGGTGGGGCCAGCCGAGTCTTGGTCTTGTGCGATTTTGAGGCACATGCGGGTGGGCGAGGACTTGACTCTCAGTCCCATGGCACACCCCAGACTCTGACAGGAGGAAGACTTTCCTATACATTTTACTAATTTTCTTTCATCTCTGACATTTCTATTATAGAGAAAGGGCACATAGCAACATTAAAATATTTCCTTTAATTAATTCCCTGTTAATGTGCATGAATTTCGTGCACCAGGCCACTAGTATAATAATATTGTTACTGAGATGGGAAAACTTAATAGATAATCATTGTTACATTTAAAATCCCGTTAAAATAAAGCACACCAATATTTATACTGGGGGAAGGAAGAGGACCACATTAATGTTATAGAAACAAAATAAAATGTTGGTGATTTAAGATTTTTATAAACAAGTTTTCTCCTTTCACCAGCACCATAGGGATTAAATAAAATCCCTATGACCATACAAAATACATTCTCTCCTACAACAGGTTTAAATTTTATGAGAATTTGAATATAAGACAATTATTTCTTGATTAAAACCAGGACCTATCTGTAATTTTAAATACTTGTTTATATTGGTCAGTTTTAGAGTGAAGGAGAAAAGATTGGGGGTGAGAGAAACAGAGATACATCATTTGTTTCACCTATTTATGCATTCATTGGTTGATTTTTTAGTTTTTAATCCTTAGGCAAGGATATGTGGTTCTTTTAAAATCATGGACTGGGCTGTAATGGCTAGTCAGAAACACAAGGCATTCCTCATCATAGTGGTAAGATGCATAGATATAAAAAGAATTTTAAGTAAAACGGAATCTCAACAGACCTCATTCAACAGACAAAAATGTGTCAAACAAGAGTCAAAAATTAAAGGAGAGACTTTAATTTTAAGAACAGTTGGCTAAGCAAACTGACCAAATACAGGATAATAGTAAACTGGTTAAATTTTCATATTTGGTGGATACATACTGCTACTAAAAAAAGGCTATGTCACACTAATTTAAGCCACTTGAAAATAATAACCATGTGTGCTTCTCTACTATCAATAAATGAAGTTTTACTATGCTGCTTAAATCAAAAACATTCAAGTCATAATGTTAATTGTTTACCGTAATAAATCCATATCCCTTGGATCGACCTGTTTCACTATCCATCATGAGCTGGATACTTTCAATCTAGAAATAAAAAACATTAATTATTACTAAGTAAAAAGTAGGGGGTCAAATGTTTTTCCTTGAAACATGATTGAATAATCTCCCTCTCCACCCTAAATAATAAATGAAAACATACCACAACCCAAATTACCCCACCCCCAAAATATTCTGAAAGCCTAGCAACTTCCCAAGCAAGAAGTTATGCACTGGGGAGCTAAAAATTATTTCAATAATATTAATCTTTTGGCTCAAAAACAAATAACAAAAAATAAAAAGTTCTTTGTAAAATACAGTCAGGTGTTAGAAATGAAAACATTTTTGTTTTCCTTCCCATTATGCTAAACCCATCAAAAAATAATTCTCAGTACCAGGCACGATAAATTGCCCAAAATGTTAAAATTATTTAAAAAGAACACTGGATTTAGTGATGATTGTGCAACTCTGTGAATAGAATAAAAAGCAATTAATTGTTTACTTTAAATGGGTGAACTGTATGGTTTGTGAATTGTATCATATCCCCAAATAAAACTGTCCACACAAACAAAGCATGAAAAATTAAGATACAGCGTGCATTTGTATTTATTCATGTTCCGGTGGATTCAGGAAATGTATTCATTTTATAATGATTGATCAACCCATACATTTATGACTTGTGTATATTTCCAATACACAAAGCACTCACAATCTGAACATCCTAATGTTTACCACTATTGACTTAAAACAGTTTAACAAAGGGGTAAAATGGGGTTGTGAAAGAAAGCAATAAAAATATACATTCAAGATCAATGAACATTGCTAGTGGATAAGGTTCAGCAGGAACCAAGATTTGTATTCACGGGCACAAAATGAATCTTTTAAACCAAAGCACAACCTACTATTAATATTTATTCTGCAATAAAATGTCTTTTTCAAAATGAGGACTCACTGGACATAAACAGAAAATCTAATTATTCTTTAATTTTGTAGAGAAACTTCTCTACATACCCCTAAATTTTCAGTAAGAAACAAAAGCATCCAAAAGAACAAACCAAGGGGAAAAAAGATTCTTGCTCCAAATGCATTCAGGACATTTTTATCATTCATGTTGATTTTTTAAATGATTGATTCTAATACTCACTAAGCATTTTACTGTAGCATTATAACAACATATTAACACACTGTATGCGGGAAACGTGTTTACACCTTTTACGTATTTATACGTTCTACCAGTGTAGTAGAGCGCGGGACACGTATTAATACGTTTTTTATAGACTAGCGGTAGAATGCAGGTAACGTATAAATACGTAAACTAAAGTTATCATAATTTTATTGAACGTTGCCATTTGCGCAAAAAATTAGCAAAAATGGTCCCCACCACCTGTTAGCGCGCGATAAAAACTACCCACAAACAATGTGTTAATAGAATGTCTAACTTCAAATGGAAAAGAATAGATTGAGTTGTCACAATATTGAAGATCAATTGAAATTATCACAAAAACCTTGCAGAATCACCCTCCCCATCTTAACTTTTATAGAATATAACAAAGCGGATATACAAAATTATTATAGTTACATCTGGATCAAGAGCCTATTGAAAGCTATTGTTTCAAGAAATTGGAACTTACCCTTCCAAAAGGCTCAAAGATCCCCCGCAGCATATCTTCAGTTATGTTAAAATGTAATGAGCCCACATAAAGTCTCATCGGTCCAGCACTTCCCTTTTGTAGATTGTTTGCCATTGCTGCAGCTCTGTTTTTTTCTGCCTACAAGTTACATTAAGTAAAAAGGCACATTATAAATCAAATCAAACCATTTAGTCATACGTCATTTTTCCCCCCAAGTACCTATCATAAAAAACTGGCGTACCTTTAGTATAGGAGAACAGAAAGTTAAAGTTAAGTAAGTTCAAATCTCATTTAATTTGATGCTTCTGTGCCCTGGTGGTCAGATGAATCTATAAACTATTAGGTTTGTACTCCTCCATCACAGGAAGAGAACAGACCAATTACTTTTCTATTGTTTACATACAATCAAGTGATAAATACCCAACATTAAGTACTCCTAAAATATTAACTAGGACATTATCACCTTTTACAGGTCATAAAGCAAATAATTTGATTATGATTGCATAAACTTGTTAGCAGTGAAACTGGAATTTCAAGTCTGATTTGGTTACAAAGCTTATTTATAACTTATATGAGTCTGATGAGGAACCTAAAATTTAGAAGTTATGGCATATTTAGTTCAGTGATTTGAAAACCTACCAACACGACTATTTAGGTACCGATGATGAATCCTAACATATACTTTCCTATTATATAAATATATTGATACATCCCAATTTTTCCAAATCTAAATGAACTAAAATATATTTTGCCAATTTTGTAAAAAATCAGCATAAAGGAATTACATTACAATTTGGATTATCTTAAAAGATATTCTTAAATGAATCTGGACTATTTTAGAAGATATTCCTTTTTTTAATTTTATATATTTTATTGATTTTTTACAGAGAGGAAGGGAGAGAGATAGAGAATTAGAAACATCAATGAGAGAGAAACATCGATCAGCTGCCTCCTGCACATCTCCCACTGGGGATGTGCCCGCAACCCAGGTACATGCCCCTGACCGGAATCAAACCTGGGACCTTTCAGTCTGCAGGTTGACGCTCCATCCACTGAGCCAAACCAGTTTCAGCGAGATAGTCTTTTTTTTTATAAATATATTTTTACTGATTTCAGAGAGGAAGGAAGAGGGAGAGATAGAAACATCAATGATGAGAGAGAATCATTGATTGGCTGCCTCCCTCGTTCCCCACATTGGGGATCGAGCCCACAACTCAGGCATGTGCCCTTGACAGAGATAGAACCAGGGACCCTTCAGTCCAAAGGCCGACACTCTATCCATTGTGCCAAACCAGCTAGGGCTAGAAGATATTCTTAAATTAGTTTGAAATATCCTATTTTAAAGAAATACTAGAAATGATGGCTATTCAAAAACTACTTTTTAAAAATTTATTGATTTTAGAGACAGGAAGGTAGAGAGGGGGGAAAAAGGGAAGGATAAAAGAGAGAAACAATTTGTTGTTCCATTTATTTATGCATTCATTTGGTTAATATTTTTTTGCCTTAAGAGAGTGGAAGGGAGGAAGACAAAAAGAGAAGCATTGATGTGAAAAAAATCAATTGGTTGCCTCCAGCATGCAGCACCCAGGGGATTGAGCCAGCAACCGAGGTACATCGTGACGTTGGCCAGAATCACATCAGAGATCCTTCAATCCATGGGCCAACGCTCTATCCACTGAACCAAACCGGCTAGAACATTGGTTGATTCTTATATGTGCCCTGAGATCAAACCTGCAACCTTGGCCTTATTGGGATGATGATGCTCTTAACCAAATAAGCTAGCCAGCCAGGGCCAAACTATTCTTGACATGAAGTAAAATCTTCTGAAAATGTTAATTTTTTGTTATACTCACCAAGAATTGTTAATTCTCTGAAGGTCACTGGCTAACACTAACCATTGAGTGAACCAGCCAGGACAGAAAATGTTAATTTTTTTTTTTTAATGTCAAAATTAGTGTTCTCACCCTAGCCGGTTTGGCTCAGTGGATAGAGCGTCAGCCTGCGGACTGAAGGGTCCCAGGTTCGATTCCAGTCAAGGGCATGTACCTTGGCTGTGGGCACATCCCCAGTGTGGGGTGTGCAGGAGGCAGCTGATCGATGTTTCTCTCTCATCGATGTTTCTAACTCTCTATCCCTCTCCCTTCCTCTCTGTCAAAAAACCAATACAATATACTTTTTAAAAAAATTAGCGTGCGCTCTCCTGGGAGCTCGCCATACCTTTCCCTCCCCACCTCTTCATACCTCATAGGCATGCATCTCCTAAACTCTTGCAACCAAAGAAGCAATGAGCAGCCACAGCTCTCCTGGTCTAAAGCCATAAACCTGTCTCCAAGGCCCCCTTTTCTCTAACTATTCAGTGAGCCAAAGTAGCTCTGCCTAGGCTCTCTCCTGTTGCTTCTTCTACTCTAATCCTCAACTTGTTTTATTGTCCCCAACTTTAATAAATGTACTCTCAAAAAAAGTCAAAATTGTTCAATTTGACAAACTGCAAGGAAAAAACATGTTCGTGGATGCTTAATAAACAACTAAGAGACTATTACAAATCAATAAAATTCTAGATCAAGTTCTCAAGTCTTTTTCATGAAATAGGTATTTACACCTTAAGGCACAAAATACTACAGCACAACACTAAGCCAACAGCAGGTTTCCACTATTATCAATGATCAAAATCTAAAGCAAGAAAAAAAAATTACCTGTGATGCCTGTACTATGATTGGCACTCCTAAAACACGTTGGCCAGTTAATCCTATTGCTAGAGGCACTGAGCTAACATCAACAAACTCCACATAAGCAATTCCCTTGGACCGTCTTGAATTTCTATCAGAAATCATCCTCACATCTCGAACCTAAAAAGAAAACACACACTTAACACAAGGTTGTTTCTGGAACCATCCAGTATAAGCCATTCTAAATAATAATTTCAAAAACAGACAAGAGGCATATTATTGACAAAGCAAAGGTGTGAGCTATTAAAATTTTTTAAAGATAAGTACATTTGTGGGCCCACTTCTAGCTTCTATTTTTTGATAAATGTGGTAACATTTATCACCACCAAAATTTATTAACTTCCAAGTGAGGTTAAATAGAAATGTTAACAAAAAATAAATTCTGTATTTAAATTCTACTAAATCAAAAGGTTTGTGTTTAGATGTCTTCCATTTTATGTCATACTGACAATTATTGAAATGTTTCCAATTTCCACTTATATGACCTCCCTAAATAGGTCAAGATTACCTTTCCTACTGTAGAAAAAAACTCTTCCAGATCCCTTGGCCGAATTCTTGCTGCCAGCTGCATGCAGAAAACTGTCCTTGCATCTCTTTCCTCAGGAGTTAGATTATCAATAGGTTCCCTAACGGGAGTAAGAAATACAGGAATTTATAACTTATTCTTGTTAAAGTACATTTTCAGTAAACAGAATAAACTTCGATGTTTCTATCTCTCTAGCCATCTCTCTAAAATCAATAAAAACATTATTTTAAAACAGGAAATTATAGTAGTGGGCTACAATTTATTCATTATTACAAATAGCCTTACATTTCTAAATTTAAAGAAACTAAAGTGCCCAAGGGGGAAAATAAAAGCATAATAGATGACATTTACTTTTGTAAGTTTTAAGGAAAATAAAAGTATCTATTAACATCAATTATGAAATATTCACTATATGGTTAAGGTTCTAAGTGAATCCTTCATGATACAAGCATAAACATGGTCTGTCTTATCCATGTTTTGAACATTCATTCTCAGGAATACTTCTGAAATACTCTATACAAAATTCTGGTACATCCCATCGAGAAATCAGCAAGTGATTTTAAAAATATTACTGTAAAACAGAGATACAAAGCTGGAATAGATCCAGAGAAAGATAACTAAAGGGAATTTTTAGATAGAAAATTAAATATTAGAGAGTTAAAAACCTCAATATCTGCAAGAGCTTTTAAAATTGAGGTTTTTACCAAATCCTGGAATATTAAAATATACCAAGTAACAGGATAAACTCAAAGTTAAAAAGTTTCCTCTAAGGCTGGTTGGCGTGGCTCAATGGTTGAGCATCAACCTATGAACCAGGAAATCACGGTTCAATTCTGGTCAGGGAACATGCACAGGTTGCAGAGTTGATCCCCAGTGTGGGGTATGCAGGAGGGAGCCAATTAATGATTCTCTCATCACTGATATTTCTCTCTCTCCTTTCCTATCTGAAATCAGTTTAAAAAAAAAAAAAAAAGGTTCCCTTTAAGGGAAGGCAGAACACCAGTAAAGAACAATGCTATGAATATAATGCTGCCAATATAATAAAACGTTACATGAACAAAATGGTAAATTGGACAGGTAAGTCTTATGTTTATTTAAAAGGAAAATAACCTATAGAAACATTGAAGAACCAAAGACTACTATTTAAAAACCAGTCAGCTTGGTTAAGATTTATTTATATGCAGTTAAAAGGAAAGCTGTTGAAAATTTAGAAATACATTAACAGTACTAGTACTACAAAAGGACATTTAATATGGTCCAATTTACTTAATGTCACTAAATTTAGTATAAATTTAGTATAAATTACAAAAGCTGTATAAAAGCTAAAAGTTCTAAAGAAATAAATAGTGACAACAGCTACCTCACGGGGCTCTTGTCTTTTCTGAATGGACTTTTGCTTCGGGAACGTCGTCTGCTGCAAAGTTAAAAAGTTTCAGAAGTTACCCAAACAAGTACACCACATTAGTTCCTTGAAAAACAATTTAAACAATTCAGAAGTATGTTTAAAAACCTTAATTTGACGCTATGAGGCAACCCAATCTTTCCTCGGATGGCACTGTTAAATTTTGGTCCGGAGCTAAAAAGGAAACACAAAATTACACTAGTTACAGGTTTAGGGTCTTGCTAAGATCACGTTCATGTGCTCTCCAGCAAGCTTAACATTGTTTAGGCTGCTTCTTTTCCACCTCAATTATGAAGAGGAAATAGACTTTTTAATTCTATCCCAAGCAAACTGCTTACAGTTATCTATCCTGGACCACTGAGAGGTGCCAAGACCAAAGGTTACAGCCTCAAAATGTTTAAATTCTGAAAATGCTCATTCTTATTTTTAGTCTATAGTTTTTAAAAGATTATACACTTATGAATACATTCCTGAGGTTTAAGAAAAACAGAAGTCCTTACTTCTCTCACACCAGAAATAACTGAAGTTAACAATTTTGGCGTGCATCTCTGCACATACTTTCTCAGGAACATACATATAATTCATGTTTTCTTAAGAGATTTCTTTAAAAAATAAGGAGACTATTTATACATAATCATGAAACTCCAAAATTCCATTTTACAACAAATCTCAGGGACTGCATAAAAACACATCTAGCACATCATACTTCACTTCCCTGTGGCAAAATATTCCATAGTAAAGATGTGAAGGAAGTTCAATTCTTCAAAAACACTTTTTTTGAGGACTTGACATATTAAAGGTTTTCAAAAAAAAAAAAAAAATCAAAAAGACAACTATTCTAAAATACAAATTTATTCTGTATTCTAAATAACTCTAAAAAGGTCCAGCAGTTTGGGGGCCTTTTATTTTGAAAGACCAAAAGAAACTAAATTTAAGAGACAAATCAGATGTCCCTTAGTGCTCATCCCGTTATTCTTTTCCAGAAAGGTAGCAAAATGAAGTATCTAGTGGTCTGTGACCCACCATTTAAATTTGTTTTCATGAGCTACACATGTACTTAACAACATCCAAGCAATTCCAAATAAATGATTTTGTATTAACACACTGTATGCGGGAAACGTATTTGTACGTTTTACGTTGACTGTAGTAGTAGAGCGCGAGACACGTATTGATACATTTTTTATAGACTAGCGGTAGAATGCAGGTAACGTATAAATACGTAAACTAAAGTTATCGTAATTTTACTGAACGTTGCCATTTGCGCAAAAAATTAGCAAAAATGGCCCGCGCCACCTGTTAGCGCGCAATAAAAACTACCCGCAAACAATGTTTTAAGTCTTTGCAATTCAAGCTAATACTGATAAGAATATACATTTACTGAATAAATTAAAAGTTCAAAGAAGAATGTATAAATACTTTCTTCTCCCTTAATTATAAAAGTCCCAATTTCTGCCTCCATAGTTAAAAATCACCTGAAGCCAAATGTAAAAACTAAATCATTTTTAAGTCAGACCAGGATCACAGGCTGACTTTGAGCATTCGTCACTGAACAGAGAAAATAGTACTCAAAATTAATTAAGATAATCCTTTTCCCTATTTAGTTCATTTTGGTTAAAAAAAAAAAAGAATGCAGTAGACTTTGATAAGTTGGAGAAAAAGCAAAATGTTTTTTAATAGAGCATTTGGAATTAAAAAACATGGTGGAACCTTTAAGCACTTTAGAAAGTTTATGAAATAAGCAGCTAGAATGAACTTAAAAAACAAAGAGTTCAATTCTTTATATTTTAAAGATTTAAGAACCAGAATCAGAACTCAGTGATAATAACTTTAATGGCTTCAAACACCAAAACATTTCATGAATAGCAGTACGATGGGTGCTTTATTTACATTCTCTTCAATTTTCATTAATAGTTTTTCTGACAATTGTTACCTCTTTCTTAAAAGTTGAGAAAACTAAAGCTTAGTGTTAACTTGTAGTAACTTGCCCAAGTGGCAGAGCCAAGGTTCTGATTTAGCTGTTTGTCTTTGATTTCTACTTTCAGCATTTCAAGTTTTAAAGTTAGAAGTGTTAATTTTAACATACCCCAGTTTATAACAGTATGTCTATTAAGAGGAAAGCACCAAGGACTCTTAGATTCAATCCTTGCTTTTACCAGTTATTTACACAGTTGAGATGTTTTTAATAACTATATTGAAACTTTGGACCTTAAATAGCCACATCCAACTTTTTGTAGTGATTTAACCTTCAAAGCACATTTAGTGCTTTATTTAAAAAAAAAAAAGAACCTTAAATACAAACAATGTGATAAGCCCCCAAAATCATCATTATCCAGGAGCATACACCAAATTCACAAAAGGTCTGTCATTTCAGCTGTAAACAGCCACACAGATAAGATTACTGTTAACAAATTACATAATTGACTATTGTAACTTACATCCATCTGAGCTTTAACTTTTAAATAACTTTATGTTCAGTTAATGTTCATATACCAAGTATTTGGCATTACATATAAAAAAAAATTTGTTAAGCATTCTAATGCTTTAGCTTGGACTGGCATACAGTTCTAAAATATTTTAATATAGAATAACAAAATAATCTGTATGCCTAGAGTAAAACAGATGTTTTTGTCCACAAACAGTTTTTCACTTTACTAGTCCTTCTATGCCAAATATCCTTATTTAATGAAACACTCTGAAGAGTAAAATTTCACAGTTCAAATCACTCAGGTTAAATTGCTATCTGGATACCCAGCAAAGACTCTCAAACCAAAATCATCATAATTATAGTTACATACTAAGGACTTCTGTAGCGGCCTCTGAATCTGCGATCTCGACTTCTTGAGCGGCTCCGCCTCCTTTCTTTGCTTCTACTTCGCTTCCTTTCACGGCTTTTGCTCTTTTTCCTTTCTCTATCTCTGCTTCGCTTCCGTTCCTTACTTTTGCTTCTTTTTCGTTCATGACTACGACTTCTGCTCTTGCTTTTTTTCCTCCTGAGAAGAAAAAAAGTCACCATTATATTGCAGGTTTAAGAATCTGCCAAAATATACTGCCTTTTATGGTCAGAATTTTAAAAATCTGATTGCAAATTAATTTTGCTTTTTTAATATCATACAATGATACATAATCATATTATGGAAAAATAATTTCTAGGTAAGATAAACACCCAACCTTTACTTTCTACTACCAAAAATCAGCAGTTGACAAAGAATTTGAGAGAGCAGGGACTATTCCTGAGAGTCAGCTGCAGCTCTAACAAGAAAAAGGTCTTATCAGCAGATAGAGATCAAAACTTGAACTTTTAAATAAAAAGTTCATCTTATAACTGGCCAACAGGTATTACTGTAATCCACAGCATACAGTAATAAATCAAAGTTATAATAGAATATGTTAACAGTTAAATATTAATGTTGGACCACATATAAAATTTTCCATCAAGTACATTAATTTTCCTTAAGCCATTTTTGACCCAATTTATACTTTAAATACTTTCAACAGCCATGCAAACATCAATATTTTGTTTTTTATCAGCAAAATTATAAGGAATGACAAAGGATAAACTATTGCAGTAAAATGTATTGACACTCCTAGACTTTATTGTAATCATTTCAGATACTTTCTTTTGAAAGTTTTGAGTATACCGGAATATGGAGTATGCCTTTTTATGCCAGTTTATACAAGCCTGTGGGGTGCAATAAAAAACAACAATCAACATCTCTATATATATTTCTTTATAAAATTATAAGCTCTGAAAGGTAAAAAGCCAGTCAGTCATCTTTGTGTTCAGTTCTGTATTCTTCAGTGTGCCATCACCCAACTTTTAGAGGTGCCTTCAGATATTTCAGTATAAATTGAAAGACATTTCAAAATAAACTTATTCCACTAAAATGTCAATTTGTAATGGCTAAAAGATTGAACATTTTGACAAGTCTACATCATTTGGAAATTTCATTTAATTCTTTAGTCCTATCAAAGCAAAATTAGCACAAGAGCATTGAAGTCTGCCTCAGAGAGAACCTGTAAGCAGGTCATCTTAGAGTGCATTGAAAATAGAAAATGAAGACACCCACCTTCTGGAATCTTGAAACCCACACTCCAATCACAAGGAGATGTAGAGCTTTCCAAGGAGGCAGAAACTTTTGTCTAAAATTTCAAGATAATCCACCTGACTGTCAGAAATGTATATGCTAGGTAGCACATGACAGAAAATTAGGCTACACTCATTATTTATATAGAAGTCATCAAAGCAACGCCCAGAAGGGCAAAAGATAACATTCCAACTTTGTTGCCTGAAAAACCTGACACTATCTATTAAATAAGTCTGTGCAATAGCTGTAAGTCCTAAATATAATCAATTAGAGGACAAAGTAAAAAGTAACTCAATCTTCCACAAATAAGACAAAGTTTTTGCTCTGCTCATATGTAGCCCATAGTAGAGAGGCATCAAACCTATTTACCTCTTTTAAGACCTAAAACTTATTTTACCAAAGGAAACACTCAAATATTGGAGAATTAATTTCAACTTAAGGTCTTCCTAGGACTTTTAATGAGTCCCCACCCACATCTGAAGGCAACCCCAGACAGGTAAATAGACAGCAACCTGATTAAGACATTCAGAATATACAATTCTCTGCATAAAAGCCCAGACAAAAACATAAGGGTGCAAGAAAGCAGTATACTTCTCTATAACGGATTGCAGCTTCAAAGAACAAAGTTAACTAAAGAAGGGTTATAAAAATCCATACTAATAGTCAAATCCTGTTACAACTTAATGGGACTTTCCAAAGTCTTTAGTGGCAGTGGAATTTTGTACTGAACATCATTGAAGTAAATGGTCCACTGGGCTGGGCCTTTGGACTTTTTGGTTATATGGCCTCTGCAGTAAAGGTGTTTTGCTATAACTGGATTTGACCTCTTCCATGTAAGAAGATCTAAATTTTAAATGCAAAGTACTCTGGAAAATAAGAAAAAAAATAGAAAAGTCATTTATTCCAAAATTTATAGATAATCCACACCACAGTAGCCAATATATTTCAACTGTGTCATTTTATTGTTATCCCCCTTTTTTTTTTTTTTTACTAATTCCTAAAGAGCTTAACTGAATGAATGGTGATTTAGACTTTGAGAACTGGTTACACTAACATAACATTCCCATGAAGGCAAGCTCCAGTACTTGATGTCTTGCCAAACTCAGGGGTATATAGCTCTTTTCAAAGTAAGTCAATTTAGAACCAATTTGTGTTATATTAAACTTAGTTCCTTTTACTATTAGAATACAAATGAGTGTATGCATTGAGAGTCAGAATATTATTTTTGTGTGTGTTTTTTAGAATTAGTATTTTTTTTTAAAGAAAATATTTACTAGTCTCTCAATTCTCAGAATGTGTATTTTCTTACTACCTTAAAACTATCCTACCCTAGCCGGTTTGGCTCAGTGGGTAAGAGTGTCGGACTGTGGACTGAAGGGTCCCAGGTTCGATTCCAGTCAAAGCACACACCCGGGTTGCGGGCTCAATCCCCAGTAGGGGGCGTGCAGGAGGCGGCCGATCAATGATTTTCTCTCATCATTGATGTTTGTCTCTCCCTCTCCATTCCTCTCTGAAATCAATAAAAATATTTTTTAAAAAAACCTATCCCGACACTCAATTACTTTTTAGACAATGAAGTTTTAGGATGAAAAAATGCAAGATGGCACCTTCCTTTGGTTGACTTAACTTACACTAAAAATTAATCAGAGAACATTTACTTGTTTTATATTATATCCATCACCAAACAAAAATTTCTTTTAGATAACTTTGAAATTTGAAAAGATAATTCCATTCAAAAAGTGGGTGAAAGTTCCTGACTGAATAAGAGAGCCATTTATTTAATCAGCTACACATAATTGAGGCTGAGAAGGCTGATAGAGAAATAATCTGTACACTTAAAAGATATCAGATAGTAGTTGGGAGTGTTTTGAAAAGTTTTCCCCTTAAACAAGAGAGATCCCTACGGTCAATTACAGAAAAGTGTCCATTCTATTTAGTCTCATAAAGATTTTTACGTTAGATAAAAAAGCCACTAAGCATCAGTCACTGAATCCTTGTAAAAGCTTGGTGGCTTTAATGAGCTTAGATGCAGGATGAAAACAAGTAAAACTGGAGATGGTATTAGCAGCAAGGAGTGACATCTGAGAATGGTACAACAAAGGTCTGCCCTACAGTGTATGTCCTCATTCTTTCTGTACTTAACTGTGAGTTTTACTCACTCACCAGGCCCGATACCTAGATTGCATCATTTCAGTCATTTCATATGAATATCACCCCCTTCCTAAGTTTTCTTGGATTACAGAATTGCAAATTAGAACCATTAATTAGGAAAGTTACTCTGTGAAAGGTCTAAAACCAGGTGACATTAAATCATGCCATGATTGGTTGATTGCCTCATATAGCAATTCAAGACTAAACCCAACCTAATTAATACCCATAATATATTGTGGTTAGTGAAGAACAGACTCCCACAAGAAAAAAATATAGGACATTCACTACATTTTACATCACTTTTAACCCATTACTACTACATTATTTTGAGGAAATTATAATTTAAAAAAATGTGGGTAGCAAAGCCTGAATAATCCCACCTGACAATTTTTTCATCTTTTTATGAAATTATATCAACCTAACAAAGTTGTTGTGAAGATGTTGAAGTAGTATATTATAAAAAGCACTTTCAACTCTTAGGAGGAAAAGAGCCAAAAAATAACCAAGGAGTGGCTATTTACCATCATTTTTCATTATGTATTAAGAGCTCATGAACATGACAAAATAGTTTAATACATTACAAACATAGGTTAACAAAACAATTTAATGCTTGTAACATCACTAATCTTAGAACTGAAAACTCCAAGAATAGTATCCAACCTTATAAAGTAGATCTAATTTATACTGTTACTTAGAATTTTATCTACTGTATATTCTGTAGCACTGGGTTACTATTTTGGGTTACTCATTAACTCAAATAAATTGTATCACTTGATTTTTAAAAAATTCCCCATTCTTACTATTAAGTCCAACTAAGTTTAAAAAGTTTTAAGACAACAAACGCTATGTAGGAGGAACATAAGTACTTAAGTATGCTATAGCATTAGGACAAAAAGGGCCTTTAATCAGCGAGGATCTTAAATAATTCATAGCTCCGAATCCTTCAGTAATTTACAACTAACAATCCTTTCCCTGGCCTGATTATTTACTTTTTCTTCTTCCTAACCCATCTTCAGTGGATATTTTAGTATATTTGGTAACATCAATTAATATTAAGACATAAGATACAACTCTCATCCAAACTGTCATGGATGTACTTGGAGGGGAAGGTGTCCAAAAGGTCCCTGAAACCATATCCTAAAATCTAGGGAAAGAGGTCCATAGTTTTATATCCTCAAATAGTTTCTCATCCCAAACGATAAAGAACCACTTTTCTAAAAGAGGAAAAGAAAAGTTTCTGGAGAGAATCTTAGTTTGATGCTTCAGCCAGAGGAACAAAACTTTAATAAGATCCCAAACACATAGAATTCCCCCACCCCAGGTCCCTTCTTAAAACTTACTTTTTGCTACGTTCTTCATGGCCATTAGCACTGCTCAACTTGTTCTCATCCTAAGCAGGGTTGATAGAAGAACATCATGAGGACGAAGTGGTAACATTTCAAGTTGTCAAAGGGTAAAGGGAATAGGAATAAGAAAATACAAAACAATTTTAAAACTAATTACTTATTCATATTTTAACATGGAAGGCTATAAAAAAATTTAGATGGGTATGTGTTTAACCACTTTGTTGCTTACAATTAAATCATCAAGACACAAAAATAAAAAAATACATATTAACATGTTAAATTTTACTTTCTTATATAGATTATTAAGTTATCCAGATTTACAGTGTTGAAGTAGTTAAATAGAATTTCTTTAAAACATGAATGAAGTCCTGTTTTGAGTTTTATTCGATGTTCTATGGTCCCTTTGGTCAGTACCATGGCTCTATTTCTGCCTAAGCCCCAAGTGGCCATGCTAGCAGCCAGCCACTATCGATTTCCTGTGACCGATGCCATTCCTGAGATCTTCGCCCATTTCCGTTGGAGGGTTGGGACTGTAAGAGCTTGATGCCACCTCTGTCACACATCTCGCCCTGAAGCAAACAGGGATTCACACTGCTTTAGTAATGTTGACTCTCAAGAACCCAAGAAAGTCAATTAATAATCCACCAGTCCAACCTAAACATTTCCTACTTCCATACCTGTTTACATGGAATTTCATCCATGTTAAACTAAGACACAAGAATCTTAACATTAAAATATAAAACTCTTCAAGAGTCTTAAGCATTACAATCTATGTACACTATTTAAAGATATAAAGAATTCATCCAAATTGGTACCACATGGTCGTGCTATACACTCAAAAACAAATGTATTATTTTTAAAAGGTTTAGCGCAATGTTTATTTTAAAGTTTGATTACATGAGTTAATGGAGTATAACTGCTAACTTACAAAGCTTACAGTTTGTGACACCAGTGATAATGCATGCATACTGCTATTTTCACCACCAACTGGTGAAAGAATGAAAAGACACTTTATTTTTACTGTGATACTGAAATGGGTCAAAGACTATTATTATAAGCCAAAATAATTCCTTTGTAGTTTTTAGTGTGAAATATGGCAGGGACTAATTAAAAATAAAACAATATGGAGAACAGTAAAACAGTCATCAAGTGACTCTAAGTTGTGATACTGCCTCTTTTGCCTTTTTTTTTTTTTTCTATTCAGGGATCCAAGAATTTTAGTAATTTTAATTGAGCAGCAGTTCATCACCTGCCTGTTTTAGTTTTTAATATAACCAGTCTTTTATATGTATACATAGAAAAAATTTTAAATCTCACCCATTTCTTCTTGTAAGACTTAAATATTTGCTTGCCACAGACTGGTTGTACTTTGTGATTCTTGGACCCCTGCTATTTTCCCAAACCACTACATTCACCTTTTTGCTATACCAAACTGGAGCTGGTAATTCTTAGTTGAGTCATTTTACCTAGGGGACCACGGTACAGCGATAAGTCACTCAATTACTACCTTATGATTGACAGTTCACACTGGAATCAAAGGTGAATTCATGGGAGTAGAGGTGAGATATCGTTAGGCAAGTCTACAAAGAGAGATAGATGGGCATTTATTCATCACGCTGAAGTGAAACTACTGCACAATATTATTACATCAATAGCATATATTTACTTTTGTAAGTTATACGTAATGCATCTCTGATAAGATAAATCAAGAGGGCTCCGGGGAGGTTAGTTTACATTTCAGCAGTAGTTTCGTGAATAATGCTAAATTAAGAAATATATAGACCTCACCAACATGTTTTTTCTCACCTTCTTGTAAGGAGCCTCAAGCATTGCTTCAATATCAATATCGTCTGCCATTTTTCTCTAAACGCCTATGAAAACAACAAGGTAATTCTATGAATAAATATTCTTCAATTCTGCTCAATGTCTTACTCGAATATTACAAAACTTCAGAAAAACCTTTTCAAAAGCCAAGGCACGATGAAAGTACTTTAACAGGCTTGGCAATTAAATCTGAAATGCCTCTAAGACAGAACACATGAAAAGTCGAGGCAATGTTCGACTTTACAAAGTCCGCAATGAACTCCAAAAACAGAAGCCGGGAATCTCAAGCGAGGAGACCTCTCTCCGCGCAGAACCCGCGCTGCCATTTTAGAAGCTGGGGGAAGGAACTGCCTCGCTTGGGAGGGGTTGGGAGCCATGGCTGCGTTCGGCTGGCGCCATGTTGGGAGGTCGCGGCCGGCCCAGGCCTCCAAGGGGCTGGTCGCCATCTGCCCGAGGCCTCTTTGGGGTTCGTACCACCCAAAAACCCTGAAACATACCCGACCGGAAAAGAAGGGCGCGGTCGTCAAAATGGGGCCGATTTCTCGAAAACCTGCCCTCCCCCCGTCGCTAAAGACCGCCTGAAAGGAGCGTCCGCAACCCAGAAAAGACCCATACCGCAAAAAAGCCTCTGACAATGCTCCGGTCAACCACATCGCCTTACCTGCGCGGGCTTCTGGGCCCCTGTGGTGCTCGTGCTCGGAGAGGAGGGCTGCTGCAGCTGCCGCCGCCGCCGCTGTTGCTACAGTTAAGTCTCTAGGCCCGGGCCGCGGTACGCCCAGCCCAGATTTCGGGCTCCGAGGGCGGATAGGCCCGAGCGAATCTAAAAGAAACAATGGGATTAGGGAAGCCGCGCGGGAGTGCAGGACGGAGACTTCGGCAGCTCAGGATCCAACCCTGCGACAGCGTCCGCAGACTCCCTGAAATGGCGGCCGCTGCTTCCCCGTACTCACATTCACTAACACGCATATACACACAAACACACGGGGTCTCCAAGAGACCTCGGCACGGGCTCTCGCGAGAAGCTGCACTATTTCCAGACTGAATAGGCCGAAATATCGCGAGATCTAAGAAAGGCCCTAGCGACCATAGCCCAATCTCGCGCAATGATTGCGCCATAGATATTCCCATCCCCCTTCCAGACAGGCGCCCTTGACTCCTCCCTCTGGCTTAGCGTCTGTATCTCGCGGGACCGCGCAAGTTGCTAGAGCAAAGGCAGTTGGTGCAATTACTGTCAGTCTTTTAGGAAACTCAACGCTGAGTGGAACTCTGTTGTCGCCACTTCCTCGTGGCGCCTCCTTACAGCGATCTGAAGGTTTTAGCCTCAGAGCCAACCGCCCCACCCTCCCCTGGGCCTCCCACCCAGGTGTCTGTCAAGGTCGCCCGCCATAAAGCAGCCTAGTCCATATGGCGATCGTGTAAAACTGAAATAGTCATGTAGACTATCCACCAAGGCTGAAGAAGTGAAAACCACCTAACAGAATGCAGGAAGAGACCGGACAGGGGTAGAGAGTGAAGGGCTGCAGAATAAAAATTAGATGTCCCGGACTTTGGGAGCCGGTGGAATAGGCTGTCTCAGCTGTCCAGCTTCAAAACCGTCTTGGAAGCAGTAGAGAAAGGCAGAGAGGTGAAAAAACAACAACAACAATCTGTTTCCCTGAGCAGAGGATCTGCCTTGTGTATGTGTTATTCTTTCTTCAAAGATGTCTGTCCCCCACACTCCTGGCTTGGCTCCTCACCCCTGAAGTCTCCCAGATGCCTGGCATTTAAGAGTATAAATTCACCACTTGTTCTTTGGTCAATACTGGGAAAAATAAGAGAGCAGAGAAGAAAATGTTTGAAAAAAAATTGAAAGATGACATACAATAAAAAATCTTATAAAAGTCTACTAACCGCTTAATGATTGAGGGCAACGATTTGAAATGAGATACCTTGGTTCTGTAGCTGCTCCAATACTGTGTGACCTTGGAAAAATAAGTTTACCTGAGAGCTTATCCTCCATTTTCTCCTACGAGGAAGAGGGTAATATAATTAGGAGGCTAAGCTTCCTGAGACTGAGCTAGGCCAATAATGCTAACTACTGAATTCTCAGCGTTCAGCCATGTGCCCAGCCAGGTGAACACTCAGTAAAGGAATGAATGAATGAATGAATGAATGAGTGCCTACTAGTGTAGTGAGGATTAAATGAGATGATGTCTGTAACATGTCTGGCAAATATTTAATTCTCCAAAAAGTTAACTTCTGTTATTGCTAAACAAATTATTTGGAGGAAATGTAGGTGTAAAGAGGCTTTCCATTTTGAGTTAACTTTGCATACAGTGTTTCTCTTAGAGGGTTAATAGATTTTGCATAGTTAGTAATGTTTTCCTATTCCTTTTCCTGAAAATTCAAATCTTCTAATTTTTAAGCGTTGAAAATCATTACAGAAGCATAATTTGTTAGAAAAGGTGAGCTAATCTTTTCCCCTTTAATTCCAGTATCGTGACTTGTCAATTGTGCAAATATCACAGCATAAAGATAGACCTTTCTTTTTTTTCTTTTTTTTTTCTTTTTGTTTGTCATCACCCCGAGGATATCTTCCCATTGATTTTTAGAGAGAGTGGAAGGGAGGGGGAGAGACAGAGAGAGAAGGAGAAACATCAATGTGAGTCCTGCACGCATCCTGACCAAGGCCAAGGATCAAGCCTGCAACCAAGGTACACACCCTTAGACTGGAATCGAACCCAGAACTCTTCAGTCCAAGGCCCAACACTCTATTCACTAACCAAACCAGTTAGGGAGAAATCACCTGTTTGATTCCTGGTCAGGTCACATGTCCAGTTTGTAGCCGATCAATGTTTCTCACATCGATGTTTCTCTCTCTCACCCTTTCCCTTCCTTTCTCTAAAACATATCTTTTTAAAAAAGACTATGGTAGCACAGTCTACCTGATAGACTCCAACAATTCTTCTCAAATCATTGATGGGCAGAATGAGACTTCCCCGCTCTCCCCTACGTCATTATATAATGAGAAACTCAAGCCCATTTCATAGAGATGGAATTAATTTTGCCACCCATATGATTTTTGCCTGATTTATCCATCTACTAATGAGGGAATTTGGCATTTGTTTCAAATACTTGTTTGTTCTGGCCAGAATTTTAAGAGCATTGTAGTGACATATCCCAAAGAAATTTGCATAAAATTGTGAAAGGTCAGTCCTTTTTTTTTTTTTTTTTTTTTTTTTAATATATTTTATTGATTTCCTACAGAGAGGAAGGGAGAGAGACAGAGAGTCAGAAACACCGATGAGAGAGCAACATCGATCAGCCGCCTCCTGCACACCCCCTGGGGACGTGCCCGCAACCCAGGTACATGCCCTTGATCGGAATCGAACCTGGGACCCCTCAGTCCGTAGGCCGACGCTCTATCCACTGAGCCAAACCGGTTTCGGCGAAAGGTCAGTCCTTTTTAAAAAATATATATTTTTATTGATTTCAGAGAGGAAGGGAAAGGGAGAGAGAGAAACATCAATGATGAGAGAGAATCATTGATCGGCTGCCTCCTGCACACCCACTATTGGGGATCGGGCCGGAACCCAGGCATGTGCCCTTTAGCGGAATCAAACCTGGGACCCTTTAGTCCTCAGGTTGAGGCTCAATCCACTGAGCCAAACCAGCCAGGAGGAAAGGTTAGTCCTTAAAAGAATAGGAGATATTTCTAGGGTAGTTGGGGGTGAGCAGGCCGACAGGCAGAATGGTTAGGGGTGATCAGGCAGGTAGGCAGGTGAGTGGTTAGGAGCCAGTGGTCCCGGATTGTGAGAGGGATGTCTGACTGCCGGTTTGGGCCGGATCCCTGTGGGCAGTTGAACATCCCCCCAGGGGTCCCAGATTGGAGAGGGTGCAGACCGGAAAACAGAGACTTAAGAGGTTAAATAACTCACTCAGTGTCACAGACATACAGTGAATACCGGAGCCAGCTTGTACTGGCTTGCAAGAGCTGGTTATTAAATATTCAGCATTTAGTTGGTAGCTGAAAATAGGCTATAATGGGAGTGTGGGACTATTTACACTATGGATAATGGCAAACACTACACATCAGACCTTTTTTTTTTTTTTTTGAGAGCAAGTTTATCAGTACACCATGGTAGTCTGATAGGGGTTCTGTAGATATTCCAGACCCTGGGACCATAAAAATCGTGGGAGATGGACAAAGAAATAAACACATAACATAAAATATATAATAGCCAGAACCGGTTTGGCTCAGTAGATAGAACGTCAGCCTGCAGACTCAAGAGTCCGGGGTTTGATTCTGGTCAAGGGCATGTACCTTGGTTGCGGGCACATCCCCAGTCGGGGGCGTGCAGGAAGCAGCTGATCGATGTTTCTCTCTCATCGATGTTTCTGGCTCTCTATCCCTCTCCCTCCTCTCTGTAAAAAATCAATAAAAAAAATATTAAAATATATAATATTTAAAATGATGACAAGTGCTATTGAGAAAAAGTATCAAAGGAGAGCGAAGAGTTTCAGTGTAATTGTGGGCATCTTGGTGTGATTTCGCATATGATTATGAAAACAGAAACCTATAGGCCTTAACAAAGACTTTAAGAATTAACTAGAGGAATAATCTTGTCTGAGAGTAATGGAAAAACTCACACATAGAAAGTAACATTTGAAGTGGACGTTGTAGAGTAAATATTAGATCCTTATATATCAGTCAAGGTCATGTAAGGAGGTAGAAATCACATGTTATTTGAAGAGGGAGAATTAATATAATGGATTATTAACTGCATAACTGAAGAAGAGGAGAAATTGAAGGTATGGAAGTAGTAATTGTAGGAATAGCTACCACCCCCAGGGTGAAGAAACAAAGGAAAGAAGTTGAAATTATTAAAACACAGAAACTTAAAGGAGGGGTCAAACAGAGCTGAAACTCAGACCTCAGAAAAGGAGGTGCTGCTTGGAGGGTACTGTGTCTCAGGACTCAGAGGAAGGGCCCCATGTGTTTTGGGCCTGAACCTGTGAGTAGGGGACACTGGACAGTTTGATGCTGGTGTCTCTGAAGAAGGAGTAATGAGATGGGTCTGTAAGTGTTGGGAAACCATAAACTGATTCAGCTGCTGTAATGAGAAGACACTGCCTCTGCCAGAATTAAGAAGTTTTGCTGATAGAAACAGGAAGCTAATAGGAAGGAAATTTTCATCCTGCAGTGCCCCTCTAGTATTATCTATTGGGATAGCTTACCAGAGAGCCAGTATCAAGGAGAAATATTATTTGCAGAGTCCCAAACCCAAAATCATAAAGCAAAAGAGTGGCTTTGGGACTAAGACAATACTTAATAAGAGAGTCACCTTACCTAGTTTTAGAAGGCTCTGCATGGTCTGCCTCATAAGTTTCTTTGCTATAGCCACATAGCCTTCTGCCAGGTCTTTTAAGGCACCATGCTTCCTCCTGCTACAAAGCCTTTAGCATATTCTATTCCTTGACTATGATGCTCTTCACTTTTTATTTATTTATTTATTTATTTATTTATTTATATGGAATTGGTCTGATGTTTTAAATTATAAGTTACTAGAGGCCTGGTGCATGACATTTGTGCACTGTGGGTGGGTCCCTCAGCCCAGCCTGCACCCTCTCGCAGTCAGGGACTCCTCGGGGGATGTCCGCAAAGGGGTTCTTAGTGCTGCTGCAGAGGCAGGAGAGCCTCCTGCCACTGCCGCTGCGCTCCTCAGCTGTGAACCCAGCTTCTGGCTGAGTGGCACTCCCCCTGTGGGAGCACACTGACCACCAGGGGGCAGCTCCTGCGTTGTATGCCCCCTGGTGGTCAGTGTGCATCATAGCAATTGGTCATTCCACCATTTGATCGATTTGCATATTAGCCCTTTATTATATAGGACTAGGGGCCCGGTGCACGAAATTCGTGCACTGGGTGTGTGTGTGGGGGGGGGAGTGTCCCTCAGCCCAGCCTGCCCTCTCTCACATACTGGGAGCC